GTATTAACAAACTGATTAAAAAGATCTTTTTTCAGTCTTTGTGAGACTCGATCCTCCCTCCATATATGAGTGTAGCACGTGTTAGAGTTCATTCGAGTCACAAAACACGTAGGAGTGATATGTTTTAGAATTCTGTTTTTTGGGCATTGTTATGTCGATTAAAATCGGTGTTTTTCAGTCTTTTTTCATGTGCGCCTGCTGGAAATATATTTAAGTATGCGACTTGGCTCAGATCATTCGGATCGCACTATAGATAGTAGTGTCATATGGCACATGAAGTAGTAGACTACGATCAAAAATTGCAAACGTTTTTTAATCTGCTTCAGTAAAGCAACTTTCTGGTGCAGGAACATATGTTTTCGAAAGAGAGAAGTAGGACTCCGTCCTTCGAAAACAATAACCGCTGTTGAGGTTTGGAGTTGACGAAACTGTATTAGTTAGAGAGAGAAACGGGTGGAAAAAGTATTATTAAAAATAAATGTAAACTCTACTATCAATCATAGACCTGAGGGAAAGATACGAAAAGTAGCGAATGGACACAACGATAAGAAGATCCCCCACAAATTACAACATTTGCCAAGTGTATACTTCGCGGTTGTGTGACTGAGAATTACGCGGTTAGTCGTCCTATCGGTTCTTTTTGATTTCTCTTCGAACCACCAAACGCATGCTGATTCATCCATCAAAGTTCCGGATGGTTGAGATGTCGCCGTTAATGATTTCTTTTACAGTATGTCTTTTTTTAAATGTATTCGCGGTATTGAATTTGCTATTTTATGGGTAACACATCTTAGAATATTTTTCTGTAAGTTATCTTTTTTGTAGATACTTTAGGGTTTATCGTAGCTGCTGTACGGAACAAAAATCTTCAAGTACGTTTTTTCTAATAGTACGTGACTCTTTTGATATTTTTTGAGCTTAAATAGCTATTTTAATACCAGATGTTTTTTGAATGGTATCTTATTTTCAAGTTACTTTGAGACTTTCATATGCTTGGAAAGAAAAGATCTGAAAAAGATCTCAGAAAGATCTGAAAAAGATCTCAGAAAGATCTGAAAAAGATCTCAGAAAGATCTGAAAAAGATCTCAGAAAGATCTCAAAAAGAACGCATACGACTGTGTTCGCCTTAAGCAGTTACGTGTCACGGCGCAAAAACGGTCGTTTCTGGTCGCCGTAAAGGTCGATCTGAGTTGGGTAACAATAATCCGATAAGCATCGAATTTCTTCAAACTTTCTGAGATATTGACCATTCTACATGTATGAGTGTAGAATTCGTTAAAGTTCAGTCGAGTGAGAAAAACAGATACGAGTAACATATATTAAAAATCATTTTCTGAGTATTAACAATCCAATAAAGGTGATCTTTTTTCAGTCTTTTTGAGAGAGCGATCCCTATATATATATGAGTGCTGCACGTGTCAGACACCATTCCAGCCAGAAAACACATCAGAGTAACGTATATTCAAAAACGATTTTCGTATATTAATAATCCGATTAAAATGATCTTCTTCCCTCTTTTTGAGACTCGATCCCCATGTATATATATGAGTGCTATACGTGCTGCAATTAATCCGAGTCCCAGAACACGTAGGAGTAAAATGTACTAAAAACCGGTTTTTGGGTACTAACAATCCGATAAAAACATCTTTTTCAATCTTTTGCAGACTCTATCCACAGTGTATATATAAGTGCAGCACGGGTTAGAGTTCATTCCAGCTAGAGAACAGGTAGGAGTAAGATATATTAAAAATCGATTTTTGGGTATTCACAATCTGATAAAATGGTCTTTTTTCAGTCTTTTTGAGACGCAGTCCAACCTATATATATGAGTGCAGCACGTGTTAGAATTCATTCGCCTTACAAAACAGGTATGGGTAACATGTATTAAAAAGATCTTTTTTCAATCTTTTTGAGAGACGATCCAACCTATATATATGAGTGTAACACGGGTTACAATGAAACTAAGAAAACTACTACATTTCACAAAAAAATTCTTCTTGTTGTTGTCTTATTAAATATCGGTAGACAAGACTGTTCCAATGACTTATCACGTGCAAGATAAAACTATTTTTTACTTTTTTTTCTATTTTATAGAGAAGAGAAGGTTATTCAATATATGTGGAAATTATATTTTGTCGAACTATCATATCTAATTGTACAATGGTTGAGAGATTATGAAATGTTCATCACCTTCAGCTATTAAGATACAAAAGTCTAAATGATATTAAATTGATAAAACTAAATCAATACTATAACGTATAATATTTGAATAGATCATTTTATTTCGTTTTACCTCTTTACCATATCTAATATATTTTTAAAAAATTATTTCATTTTCTGTCAAATTCTGAAGGATAAATTTTTGAAAACAAATCCATACATTTATTTGGATAGCGATTGACGTGTCAGTAAAAGTCGATATTGCCCAATTCTTCAATATAACAATTTCAAAGAATATAAATTGAATTTTGAAAGTGTCAAATAATATAGATTTCGACGGAGATATCAAATCAAAAAAAAAAATTTGACTGATGTCTTGATTCTTGAATGGACTCATAGATGGTCTTCTACCGCTCTGTAGCTCAATGTGAGCTAAGTAATACCGTATTTAATCTTCCATATTGAACGTTTAAATGTTGATCTTGATGCGTACTTTCTACTTATATATGATGGTGTCTAACTGAAGACAAAATGGCTGAGCCAAACCGTTCGATTTTATATGAATTATACTATAAAGTTATAAATGATCTCTAAAATAACCGACAATTGTAAACCACATATCGACTCGAACATACCATTCTTTTTCTAATACTTGTTTACCATTTTATAGAGAATCAAAAGCTGTATAACATATCAAGAATTTGGAGTGGTCCCATTTGTTTTCGAAAAATGGCAGTAGATATACTGTTAAAAATCGCATGTCGTAAACTCATAAATTGTGCCAGTTTGTACTCATGTTGGACTAAAAAATCTAACTAAAGAGATGATATACAATATTTTAAATAGCTCATTTTGTTCAGCTTTTGATTCTTTATCTTTTGGTATATTACATAAAAAAATTCTATAAATTGTAGAAATAAAATCCTGATAAACATTTATAGAATGATTTATGTCTATTTTTTGAATAGTAGGTAGTGAGTGCTTAACAGTCGAATCAGTCTAATTTTTCTATAGTACATCCAAATGAGCTAAAAATTTGGATTTGGTGGTTTTCGATGATGCTGAACAAGATGAGAATCTCAAATCAAAAATCAAAATTTTATGCAGTGCCTCGTATACTGGGACGATACTTGGTCCTCACATGGACGCTCTCTTAAGCCAAAATTCAGTAGTCAATGTTCAATATTAATTGGAGGAAACTATGGAGTTTTGTAGTAAAATTCAATAAAACAATCTATTTTTCATATATCTCACAGTAGAAGAGGCTGGAGAGGCATAGATAATTATACAAGATATCAAGTTATTAGTTACAGTACTTCTATGTATTGTATCTGATATCTCTTTTTTCTGTTCGCTGTGCTCTCTACCTTCTCCCTTTCACAGACATGAGAGACAGATAGATTGAATATTCTTGAAGATGAAGAAATGTTGTTAATTTAGTAAGGTTGCTTAATATTGTTGAATGTGATATAAGGTCTGGTGAAGAAGAAAAAGCTTTCAGCGAATTCCTTACGGATCTAAAATATGAAAAGCAGTGTATTTGTTTCACTCAACAACGAGAGCTCTCTCAGTACCGGCCATACAATTCTTGACAGTACATTATTTACAATTCAAATATTTCCTTGTGCTTTCGGACACTAGAAAAGCTTTTCTATTCTGTTTGTCATGCATCTTTTGGATCCGACAAGGCGTATCAGATTCATCGTTGTTGCTCTATATTTCAACGCTCATGTGCAATCGTGTTACACAAGTTAATTGTGCTGTCCCATTATGATTAGACTATCCATAAAAGACTATGATACCACCCGTTAAAGTAAGCCTTACTGCATTGCTGTTAGTTAAGTAGTTTCGGTTGATTTTTGCTTCAAACGTATAGATTGACCCATAAGTTACTTCGTTTTATTGCAGTAGGTCATAAATGGCTACATATTTATTTATCATCTCCAAAGGCATTACTTGAACAATGCATATTATTAGCTCAACAACAGTCATTCAGAGCAATCGTTGTTACATGTGATCATCCACATAAACGAATTCAATCAATTCATAGATCAGTGTTCATTCAAGCGACTGAACGTAAACAAGATAAGACATTGACAGAAATATTGTACACACCTAATACCAATATTGCAAGATTGAAAGTTGATGAGAGATTAGATGATCATATACCAAGTGAAAAGTTAACATGGAAGGAATTTCAATGGTTAAGAACGTTAACAAAATTGCCCATAATTTGTAAAGGTATTTTATCTGTAGACGATGCAAAATTAACTTTAGAATATGGTGCCGATGGAATTGTGGTCAGGTAAGTCCAAGTTTGGTGTTAGCCTTAAAACTATAATACTATTTCTTCACAGTAATCATGGTGGCCGTCAGGTGGATAGTGGACTATCAGCTATTGAATGTTTGAAAGATATTGTAGAATTTGTTAATGGTCGTTGTGAAGTATTTGTTGATAGTGGCATACGAACTGGAACAGATGTTTTGAAATGTTTAGCTTTGGATGCTAAAGGTGTTCTTATTGGCCGTCCTATTTTGTATGGTTTGGCATGCGGAGGCTATAATGGTGTGGAAGCCGTACTTAATTTTTTAAAACAGGAATTGATATATGATATGGCTAGTTGTGGTCTCAAAAGAATTGAACAAATCAATGAACGAATACTATACAAATATCGTCAATGACTGCTTTTCATTTTTCTCTCCAAAAT